AAAAAAAAATGCTAGAAAATGCGTGTGACACCTGCTTTTTTAATTCCTAATAAATGCGCCACCGGACACTTTATAGGATACGACCAGAGAGACGGACTAATGAGTTACTTTTGTGTAGCTGAGCTCTTTTAAATTTTGTTAATAAATGTTGAGAAAATATTATTTGTTTATCATTTTGATAAGAGCTTCCATTACTTTTTAATGATTTTTACAATGATAGGAACTTATCACATTCATATTCTCGGCGTGTAATGTATGTATTAAAGTTGATACAATTGAAGGGAAGGTCGGACTGAGGAATCGGAGAGCCGAGTTCGAATTCTAGTCGAATTCAGTACATTCACTTACAAGCGAACACATTTGGGGAAGGTATGAATCCTCTTCTCTCTCCATCTATGGGTAAATAGCAGAACAGACTGGGTTCTATAGCCTTGGATGGCAACTGGTCTACCGCAGAAAGAAATGACAACCTACTGCGGGAACAAATCTGCCTCATCAGTCATGTATCGAAAGATACATGATCGCTTAAGCGTGTATTACGCATGGGATATAACTGACGGACAATTCAATGCAATTCAAATGTTTTTAATATGTCCGATCGGAGAGATGTAGAGTCACTCCTCTTGACAGGTAGATGGTGGTATGTTCAACATAATTATTGATGTGTTTGTTTTTGCTAGGAACACAGTTTCTTATGGGCCATCTCATTTCATGAAGAATTTTGACCTTTATCCTAACCACATTGTAGAATTCATATTCGGACAGGGTCCTGTAAACCTAGTCGCCACATGTTTTTGATGAACGCTTAGAACCTTTCCTTTTTTACGACATGCGGAAATACATAAGACAAAGTAAATAATGCACAGATGAGAAGAAGAAACAACTACAATCGCTTAGCATTGCTAGCAATTATTGAATATATTGAATGATTGATTCGTTTTCTACGGGTTATGACCCCTTTGTACCTTATTTAAGCCAGAAAATATTTTTAGATAATAATAATGAAATGATATAAGGATTACTAATGAACCCCTAGCTGGGGGAGAAGAGGTGGATCCATACTTTTCCCAGTGGTATTTGCATAGAATATAACGAACCGAACGGGAATTAGAACACTGCTGTCTGATTAAATAAATCCGAGCGATTATACATTACAACACTTTCATCTAACGGCACTTGGAAATTCGAGGCGGTCACCAATCGAGCTATTGAACAGGCTCACATTGCTTAACTTCGTTGATCGTATAGCTACCAGTGTTTCAATGTGATGTGGCTATAAGCATATTGAAAATATGAATAGGGTTGAAAATTTCTCGATATTGCAAAGAAAAATCTGATGATTGTTTATTTAGTCATTTTACGTAATTGGAACAAGAGGAGTCTATTGACTCTCGTAGACATTATTTACATTATTCGCACTATTGTCCTCATCTTTGCTGATATATTTATTAAAACGTTTCAGCCGTTGTACGCTCCGGCATTCTTCAGGTGGTTGGAATGACGAACTGAACCCTTTATTTCGCTCACCGGGTTAGAATGTTCTAGTTTCATGTGCCATGTTTAATGGATGTCAGTTATCAGTTATCTCCTGCTAATTTCCTTCTGAAAGTTCTCCACTACCTTAACAGGGTATTGAACTCACACTCTTTGGGTCCTGTCCCTGGAACTAACTAACGACTTTATCCACTGTGCCATGTGTCCTTGAACTAGAACAGTCTACACCAGTGAGCGAAATGAAAGGTTCAGTTTGACATACCAACTACCTGTATAAGGCCGGAGCGTACAACTGAGGAAACGTTGTGATAAATATAGCGGCAAAGATGAGGATAATAGTCCGAATAATGTAAATAATGTACATAATACCTCATCTCAGAAATATAGACAGATACTGAAAGGCCGAAACGTTGTAATAAATATGGCGACAAAGATGAGGATAATAGTCTGAATAATGTAAATAATGTACATAATACCTCATCTCAGAAATTTAGACAGATATCTCGTAGAGCTTTCCAGATTTCTCGTATCTCATATGTTCACCTGTATTTGCATAATATTTACTCTGTAAAAATGTACACACAATATATGTAATATAAACATACGTAACCTATTCATAAATCGATGCCTCTCTCTCTCTCTCTCTCTCTCTCTCTCTCTGGCAATCTATTTCTCTGCCTACCTATCAATCTATATATGTTCATATGTAACTTAGTCTGTCTATCAAAGTCTTTTCATATCTATTTACCTATCTGTAATTCTCTCTGTGTCTCTTTATTACAGTATGTTTTTATTTTTCTCGCTATCTGATATGTTCGTAAACAAATGAAAGAGAATTAGGAACACAATATACCAAGCTAAGTAAAGTCAAAACCAGACAAACTTGATATTCAATATCTGATTTTGCAGTCGAGAGACAAATATTATTGTATAGTACACGGCATTAAAAACATAGGCACAGATCTGTGCATTAAATGTCCGAAAATATTTCACGCTCCCAAAGTAATACAATCAAATCCAAAACGAAAATTAGCAAAAACACAAAACAAAACAAAAACAACACCTTAATGGAAAGATAGTAGACAATCGAACAATGTCTAAATGTATTAACAAAGATGCTATTATGATGATTATTAATAAATTCGTTATTATGATGAGTAATAAAAAGATATTATTTTAATGATTAGTACCAAAGACGTTTTATACTGATTATTAAAAAAGATACTGATGATTATTAGTGAAAGTGTTATTATGATGATTATTAAAAAGATGCTATTATGATGATTATTAATAAATTCGTTATGATGAATAATAAAAAGATATTATTTTGATGATTAATACCAATGACATTTTATACTAATTATTAAAAAAGATGCTGATGATTATTTGTGATGATGATTATTAAAAAGATGATATTATGGTGATGATTAATATAAATGATTTTTTATAATGAATATTAATATAGATGCTTTTATGATGATTATTAAAAAAGACATTATGGTTACTATTAACAAATATGCTATTATAATGATTATTAACAAAACGTTATTATGATGATTATTAACAATGTTATTATGATGATTATTAAGAAAGATGCTATTATGATGATTATCAAAGACGTTATTACAATAATTGTTAATTTATATGCTATTACTATGGTTATTAACAAAGACATTCATATGAGGATTATTAACAAATATTCTATTATGATTAAGAAAGATTATTGCAAAAATGCGATTATGATGATTATTAACAAGATGTTATTGTGATGATAATTAACGAAGATGTTATGATGATTATTCAAAGACGCTATGATGATGATTATTAAGAAAAATTCTACTATCATGATTTTGATCAAAGACGGCAATATAAGTATTATTAAGATATATGCTATTATGAGGAGTATTAAGATAGACGTACTCATGATGATTATTAAGAAATATGCTATTATGATCATTGTTAATAAAGATACTGTTATGATGATTATTAACAAAGAAGTTTTTATGATGATTATTGACAAATACGTTATTATGATGGTTATTAATAACGACTTTATTATGATGATTATAGCAAAAACATTATTATGATTATTATTAAGAGATGCTATTTTGATGAGTATTATAAAAGATGGGATTATGAGGATTATTAGCAAAATGCTGTTAGGATAATTATTAACAAGAATTTATAAGGATCATTATTAAAAAAGATGCTATTCTAATGATTATTAAATAATTACCTCAAAGTTACTATTTTAATGAATATTAACAAATATGCTATTATAGTGATTATTACAATTGTCGTTATTCTGATGATTCGTAACAAAAATGATATTTGCTCTTATGATGATTATTAACAACGACGTTATTATGTTGATTATTAACAAAGAAGCTATTATGATGATTATTAAGAATGATGTTATTATGATTATTATTCATGGCGGTGTTAGTAGGATCATTATTAACCATAAATATATCATCTAAATATGTTACTTTGTATGATACGTACGTATATTTGCAATGCATGCATATGAATTTTTTCTAACTTATAAAGCTCTCATATTCTGTTCAAATCGTCATGTATATAAGCGTTTATTAATTGTCAGTTACTATCTTTTTTGCTTCTATATACGAGGAGTAGAGAAATATTCACAGAACAAAATTAAATAATCTTTCGAAAAGGTTTTGGCTATGATTTCATGGATTTACGTAATCGCAATTCAACCATTCCTTTTATTATTTATTTATTCAAATGCTGCGCATAAAATATCAAATTTTAAGTTCTAAGAGAAAGACAGAACCTAAACCGCGCCAACATAATACCACTGCTCTTCCTATTTAAATAATATGGGAACAGGAACAAGGTAGTAATAAGTGACAAAGCGGATTCACACCTTTTTCTATGGTATCAGCATAAAGTGAACACAACCATCACAGCTGGAATTTCAAGCTGATTCCATTGTCATTGCTTTTAACCGTAAGTTAGATAGATAGATAGATAGATAGATAGATAGATAGATAGATAGATAGATAGATAGATAGATATGGACAGACTGAAAGAGATAGCAAAAGTTACATAACGAACAGATATATATATATATATATATATATATATATAGAGAGAGAGAGAGAGAGAGATAGATAGATAGATAGATAGATAGATAGATAGATAGATAGATAGATAGATAGATAGATAAGGGCAGACTGAAGGAGATAGCAAAAGTTACATAACGAACAGAAATTGATAGATAGATAGATAGATAGATAGATAGATAGATATGGACAGACTGAAAGAGATAGCAAAAGTTACATAACGAACAGATATATATATATATATATATATATATATATATATATAGAGAGAGAGAGAGAGAGAGATAGATAGATAGATAGATAGATAGAAAGATAGATAGATAGATAAGGGCAGACTGAAGGAGATAGCAAAAGTTACATAACGAACAGAGATAGATAGATAGATAGATAGACAGATAGATAGATAGATAGATCTTGCTGTTTTACAAAGACTACCGAGTATTATGTTGATTTGATTAACAGCCTGTACATTTTAATCTTACGACGAAAGACGATACTTACCAAAATGTTATATTTCGTTCATCACATATTTCATTCTATCACAAGCAAGGCGATAAAAGCTTCTAGGGTAGAAGTAGTTACTGACAGTGAATATAAAAGAAAACAGGAAATTACAATTGACATTTTATTGTAGACAGAAAAGCAGGAAGTAAGTTCCACAGACGAGGAGTGCGAGAGAAAAAAAAAACTATTAGCATTTAGTAATTTCAAAACTTAAATCTTGAGGCACAGCTGCCAATTTTGCACTATGCATAAATTCTTGATCAAGGTACAAAAGAATAATTCTCATCAGAAAAATTACAGGGAAAATATGTATAGAATTGAGATATGTTTTCTATAAATATGTTCATTGTAATTTTTATGAGATTTCGTCATCAATTTCAGACTCGGTAACTATTCTGTTGACACAATGTACATCTGTCTTAATAGGAAGTCTGATAAAATCAAATTGGCACCTGATCACAAAGAAAAATAAAACTTCTATCTATTATTAACTGGTGTAAGAAATGGCTGCTAACCCTGAAAGAGAGTAACTCACTGCGCCATCTTGGTCACTCGTTTTCCACGGACACTTAACGGAACGATTGTCTTCGATCAATTGCCAAGTCTGTTGCATTTTAAAACGTTTTTCTATCTCTTACACGACAGAAAACGGGGTGAAAGCAACCGGAGCAGATATGACTGGTCATGATCGATAACACTGCAGATTCTTCTTTAGATTTTGTTCGGAATCTGTAGATGTTTAGCAGGAGTAACAGAAAAGAAATGTCACCAACTTTGGACATATGGATAAATGATAGACTTATAATGTTGAAAGATAGATTTTAAAGAGAAATAGGCAGCAGATGAAATGTGGCAGCAATATTTGAAACAAAATATAAAATTAGAATAAAAAAAGATTAATCGAACAATAACAAAAACTGAATAATGATAAAATTGGTTGGGTTAAATTAAAATATCCATAATCTATACCGGAGCAAACCGACTGAATACAGAATATAGATAGGATGTAAGACAAGGTCGTGTTTTCAATCCGGTCTTATTCAACATATAAGCTGAGCTGTTTGTGAAAGAATTAGAAGCCCACCGGCATTCATTAATGGCGGCCAGAATCTTAACCACATACGATGACACTGGATTCATAGCAGACACCCAAAAGGAACTAACAATGGCTTGTAATCTTTAATGCCTCCAAAACGAAACTGTTCTCATTTTTCACCATAGAGAAACCTCCCTACCTCCTATCAACATAGCTGATGTGCTACTTCACGACAGCGTCTCTCTGGGCTTTATTGATCTCACGGTTTCCACTGACCTGAGGTGGAACAACTACATTGAAACAATGGCTTCATCTACCGCAAGGAAAGTTGGTTCTCTCTGTCACGCCAGAAGGTTTTTCTCGTCTGAATCTATCCTTCAAATCTACAAACTTACTATTCGTCCTCCCATCGAATACTTTTGCCATATATGGTCAAATGACCCCGCGGTTCATCTTGAGGTTCTCGACAAAATCCAAATACGGATAGGCAATGTAATAGTTCCTGACCTAGTATCTCGACTCCATTGACTTTCTTACAGACGTGACGTGGCTTCCCTATGTCTCTTCTAGAAATATTTCCGTGGGAACTGCTGTGACGTCATATTTTCACAGGTGCCCCAACTGCAAGAATTTAAGCGTGCTACTAGGTTGGCATTTCGATCCCACCGAAACAGTTAAATGTAACCGCCTTTTCTTCTCCAAGAGCTTATTCTCTCGCACTTCCAGACAGTGGGACTCCCTTCATCTTAATCGCTTATCTAATAATTATAATCCTCAAAAATTTAAATTTAATGTCAATCGGCATCTTCTAATGTCATGATCCTTGTCTTTATCCTTTCTTCAAGCACCTCTCTTTACTCTTACTTTCACTCTCTATAATCTCTTGCGTGCTAGTGACACTCTCGCCTTGATTGAGGTGAAATGCTTTAAAAAGTAACAAGACAACATTTTCTAAGAGCTACAGAGGATATGAAATTTTTGAGAGCCATGATGGCAAACCATCCGAAGGCACAGCGTACATAGAACAAAAAAGGCTTGAAACATGCTTCATCTGCAGACTACATATGTAGATAACTATTATGGTAATTTACCCACGCTCGCATGGACTCTTCCAGCTATAAATAGGAGCAGGTACTGCCTTTTGGAGAGAGAAGTTTCCAGCAGTCAGGGCTAACTGTCGGACAGAACATTCCTGCTGTAACACTCTCGTATATGTTTGTATTACTATTTCTGTTAATATATTTGTTTAATTCAGTTACTCTCCTGTGCCATTATTTCTGAGCCTAACAAGGCCACAGCAATAATATATGTTTGTATTAATCATAGTCACATCAAATTGGCACCTTTTTTACCATATATCTAAGCGATGTATTGTTATGAACTATTTCTTTGGAACACAAAACTTGTACTGAAATATGTAGTAGAATATACTAGATTACATCTGAAATAAAAAGAACTACGCCGAAAAATATTAAAACAATATATATGGAAATAAAGGGATTCCAGGAAGTTATTGCTTAAAATACAGAAATTTGTCTTTTGCCAAATGAACAATGGAAGAGTACTATGCTACAGTCAGATCCGGCAGATAAGAGTGATTGTCTGCTGGTAACTATTGATGAAATAAATTAAAAAAATATGAAAATTGAAAATGCCCAGTTGAAGAGAGAATAATATTACAGAATATAGTGAAGGGCAGAGAATGGTCAGCCAATTGGTCGAGTGACTTCTGGGTGGGGCATTCTGACAGTAAGTATATATATATATATATATATATATATATATATATATATATATATATATATATATATATATATAAATAAGTAAAGCTGACCACTCGTATTCGAGAATACCCATCTACTAGGGCGGCAATACCTCCCCCATGGCACACGCTTTCTCAAGCGCATTTGTGTTTATTCAGCTTGTGGTTATATACTGCAACTATGGTGAGCACACCATAATTACAGTTTATTGAAAAGATCGTGTTATCTAACCTGGTCAACAATTTGAACAAAGGCTAGCACGCACAAGCCCTCGGCCACGATGACTTATGACTTCGTGCTAACACAGTTATCGATGGCCCTCAAGAGATCCGTCTATCCAAATTCACTCACAAGGTTTGGGTCAACACGTGATATGGTTTTCAGGCACTTTCTAAAGGTGCCGCACGCTGGGATATATATATATATATATATATATATATATATATATATATATATAAAGAATTTTTTGAAACATGTTTAGAACTGTGTAGCGAAAAAACATATTTTAAAAAATCAATTTATAATATATATATATATATATATATATATATATATAGACATTTCAACGTTTGGAAGTAAAGTCTGATGATCTAGTGCCCTTTTAAAAGGGTTGTGGTGAAATAACTTATTACATGGAACCTTAAAGTGGTCTGTTTTTATTCAAACATATTTGCTCTGAATTTACATTGAGCTCTCTGGATATCATCCTCCTTGGGTCTACCCATACGAATTACCTAGTTTTGCATAAACTAAATATATATATATATATATATATATATATATATATATATATATATATATATATATATATATATCATAATAAAGAAAAAACAGTAAGATATATAATTCGGTGTTCTTATTAATTATTTTTATTTTTAAGTTGGATATAGACACGTACAAAAGCGTCTGAAATGGCCAGAAGATAACATGATGGTTGACTTCCCGAAGGTTTTGTTCACGGATGACTCTCGTGCTACCAATGATAGCCCTGACGGTTGGAGCAAAGTCGTCATCAACGTTCATGGCGCCAACAAGGAGGAGATGTACCATGATTTGGATAAGTATTATTGAAAGTATCATGTTTAGTCCGTGGAAAATGCCTGGTGGTATTAAAAATGGCTGCTATAGCCTTCTTGAGAGAGAGCTCATTGAAATCAAAGGATCACGTTCAGGTGAACCTTGATATTTATGCATGATAATACTCCCTTACATAAAACTACGGAGTACCTGAAACAGTTGGGTTACTGTGTACCTAGGAAAATGACCTGGCCGGCAAATTCTTCAGACTTAAACCCAATCGAAAACTTGTGGAGTATTCTGAAGCGACGGGTTTAGAAGAATGGACGCCAATTTAGAAGGAAAATTTTTTCGTAGGCAATAGTGAATGTATCACGTGAAATGACATCAGAGAATATACAGAAATTGACATCTTCCCTCTTATCCATGTCATTTAAAGAAGAGGATCACATATCACTTATAAACCAGCTCCACTATAATTATTAACTCTGTACTTGTTGATTTTTATTTATTTCATTTCGGTTAGTGTATGCATCCATGTGAATCTGCATATGAGGCAATTAAAGGGTGTTTTCTTGTTTACATTAATTCTAATTACACCTCGCTAATAATTTGGAACAGTTGTAATTTAGGTAAATTAGGGAAATGATCGTAGTTTCTGCGTAATTGTGAAGAACTTTACACTTTTTACAAGGTACGCACATATAACAGTTACCATCATTTGTTGAAATTTTCGTTAAACTGCAACGTGTAGATTTGGAGAAAATGGAAAAATGTTACCTCTTTAATAATTCATTAAACAGTGTATGCACACACACACACACATATAAAATAAGATAAAATAAAAATAAAAAAAACAAATCAAAACTACAGACAAAAGTTCATTTTCTCCAGCAAGACATTAATTTCTGTAGTTTACTGCTACCAGCAAGCAGAAATATTTCTCCTCCCGATGATGGCCATTTTGGGGCCGAAACTAGTCGAGGAATCTAAATGAAATAATAATAATAAAAAAAAACGAAAGAACATTAATCTACAACCCAGTGTGTCTGAAGATTTTAATTTTTAATTTTTATTGTTCAAAATATATATATATA